GTTCATTGATAATACGAAGGACATTAAGGCCGGCAATGGTTCCAGCATCCTTGGTGGCTTGGCGCTGAGAGTCATTAAAGTACGCAGGCACAGTAATGACCGCATTTGACACTGCCTAAAATAACAAGAAGATCAAAATCAAATGGCATACTTATTTGCAAAACCACCAAGTTTGGTTTTTGGACCAAGTCCATGTCTTACTCAGAGATTTTTTTGTGTGTGTGTGTGTGTGTGTAAAATATTATGTTGGCTTTGATTCTGATAAACCCAATGGCTTACTAGTGTATATAAAAATTGCTTTTTTGTAGAGGAGAGATTTTTGTGATTAAGGAAAGAGTCTTTGCATTTGCATTTGTTCAATATAATTTTGCTCATAAAGAAAGAGTAGATGCTTTCAGGAATATTGCTGTTTTTAAACAACCTTGTTGACACTATAACGACTGAGGCCAAGTTGACATCCTTCCTAGAACCAGTGTTATCTTCAAATATCTCTCAAAAGTCTTCAAATATCTCTCAAAAGTACAATTCAAAGTTCAAAATGTTTCTGAACATAAAACGTGTGCTGCGGAATCAGATATTAATCTGTGGTTAATTTCTCAACTCCATTCTAACTGTAGATAAAAGATAAGAAGCATGAAGCTGTTTTTTGCAAAACTTTGCACTTGTGCAATGGATATATTAGTCTTCACAACAGTACTTTTTTCTCTGTTTTTGTTTGGTGCGTTCTATTAAAATATGTGATCAATTAAAGGCTTTCCCTCCATTATAAATTAGGCAGGATTTTTTTTTTTATTTACTTTGCAAGTAGCAAGATTCAGGGAAAGGGTTCAAATGTTGTACTCTCATGAATTTAACAACAATTTGATCTGTAGAGCGATGTGTTCTCTTTAGCTTGGTCATCCATTTTCTGTATGCTTGAATGCACATTAAATGTGAAGCAAAAGGGCCAGAACATTTCATTATATAACAACCTAAATATAAAAGAATTAAAAGCACCTAATTCCAATGCTTTTGGTTCTAATCACCTTTCCCAAGTAAGCCTCAGAGATCTCCTTCATCTTAGTGAGGACCATAGAAGACACCTCTTCAGGGTAGAAGGACTTTATCTCCCCTTTGTACTCAACTTCCACCTTGGGCTTGCTGCCATCATTGATCACCTTAAAGGGCCAGTGCTTCATGTCAGACTGAACCACTGGGTCATCAAAGCGTCGACCAATCAGGCGCTTGGCATCTGTTGAACGAATCAAATGCATGTAAAATGCACAATGGCAACAGACAAGCATTGCTTTAAAACTGCTGCTGGTTTCTGCTGATGCGTTAGAAATGACTGGATTACAGTATTAGCATTATAATAACTTCAATGCGAATACAATGAGAATAGTAACATATACAAGTGTCAAAGTCAATCTTTCTTACCGAACACTGTGTTGGTGGGGTTCATGGCAACTTGGTTCTTGGCTGCGTCTCCGATCAGTCTTTCGGTGTCTGTGAAAGCGACATAGCTGGGGGTCGTTCTGTTCCCCTGGTCATTGGCGATGATCTCCACCTTTCCATGCTGGAAGATTCCCACACAGGAGTAGGTGGTGCCCAAATCAATACCCACTGCTGGACCTTTTGACATCCTGTCTGGAACGGGTGAGACCAATGGTAATTTTAGTTAAGTATCTGAATGTATTTTTTAAGAATGACATAGAAAGAAAGTTTTCATTTTTTGTATATGCAAGGTTATAAAACGACACCTAAAATGTGTGTATTTTTTAAAAAAAGAAGAAAAAATATTTAAAAAAATTATTAGGTCAAAATAATAATAATAAGAAGAAAATGCATATTGAACATGAGTAATCAGCCAATCATTAAAAAAACACTGGTCAATCTTTAAATATATATCATATGTATAGACTGACGGTGGCATGTTTAGTCACATTATGCTGGCCTGTGCTGGCAGCTGCTTTAGAAAGCACTAGATTGCCTGCTTGGCTGCATGCCATAACCATGTGTGTGTGTGTGTGTGTGTGTGTGTGACAGCAAGCTGTAAATTTGTTACCTCATACTGCTTACTCAACAATTAATTGTAGTTAATTTTAGAGATATAATATTTTCTTATTTATCTTTAAACATTATAAAATGCAAAACCAAAAAGAGGTTGGTATACAAAAGCGACAGGAGGTTTTACTCCTGCTTAACTCTGCAGAGCAAGTCAAATGAAAATTTTAGGAAAATCCTCTGAGACGAAGATATAGGCCTGAGAAAGACGCAGACTGTTTCTTAAAGGAAAGCCTATGTCATGAGACAAGAGCACATTGGAAATTAAGAGACATAAAGGGCCAAGAGACCTACAATATGATTTGCTGCATCTGCATGTGCGGCAGACATTTTTATTTTTTTATGTAAATTTTATCCATTTCTTTTTGTGCTTTTGTCATTTTATAATTTTTTTTTAAAATATTTCTCTTTACGAGTAATTATTTGTATTATATGTTTAATATATTTTAGTTTGTTATTAAGTTTATAAACTAAACATAATATGAATCCATTGATATTTTATTTTATTTCAGCTTGATTTATTTCATCGATAATAACCCTGTCTACAGTACACACACATTTTTTAAAGATTAAAACTTATAACTTATATTATATACCTAATATACATATACAAAATGTACTTTTAATAATTAATTTTAATTTGAAATTTAAATTAATTAATTAATATTTAAAAAATGCATTCTAGGATGCACCTAATAAAGTTTTAATTACCATACTAAATTTGTGTTACAATGTTTATTACTATTTTTTTTTCCAAAACATGGGTACCCATAAAAAAAAAATATATATATATATATATATATATATATATAAATGGGTAGGTGTGTTCTTCTAGCACAGGGATTTTCAAATGTTTCCTGTAATCTCCAGAAATCAATATTTTGGAAATCTCTGTCTTTCCTTTTATTTTTTTTTATCACACAGTAAATAATAAGCTTCTTATTTTTTTTCTGTTGTGAATTCGTTTTGGCACCTTTATATATGGTTTCACATGCTCAGTTTAATGTGGGATTTGATGGATAGAAGCATAATCACCCCAATTTGGTCTAGAACAAACCTGTTTTAGCAGTGTGTAAATCACAAACACAAAAAGGAAAATATGAATGCAGAACTGCCAAAACGGTCCATATCTAAAACAGACCGACAGAAAACCAAGCCAAACTGCTTGCAATGCTTCAAAGAAAACTTTTACCTTACTGGAAAAGTTGTACTTGAGAGATAAAGAAGTGCAACGTGTGTCCTGTTCCCTTGAGCACGGGGTCCGCCCTCGGCCAAAGCTCTGCGAGTTCCTGGTGCCTTTTGCACTGCTGGACTCAGAGGAGGCAGAAGCCCTGGACTCTCCTGCGTATATAGGGATTCCAGCTTGTGGTCACCTGACCCAGGCCGCAGAGAAAGTTCCAGGCTGCAGTTCTCATGTGCTTCAGTCTCGCCAGCCAAACGCCTGCCATTCAGAACAAGCACACTGAGTTAACAACCAACCAAGGCAGCGCAACACGGAATACACTGGTTTCCATTCATGGGGACATTCAGTCTTCATCAAGTACGACACAAACTCAATAAGTGCAAAGTACTCACCTTATTTATATTGCAGATTTAAGCATTTTGAGATCTTTCCGTGCGCTTTTTGCCTCAAAATGTCAAAATGAATCAGATATTGATCTGTGGTTAATTTCTCAACTCTATTCTAACTGTAGATAAAAGATAAGAATCATGAAGCTATTTTTTGCAAAACTTTGCACTTGTGCAATAGATATATTAGTCTTCACAACAGTACTTGGGTTTCTCTGTTTTTGTTTGGTGCGTTCTATTAAAATATGTGATCAATTAAAGGCTTTCCCTCCATTATAAATTAGGCAGGATTTTTTTTTATTTTTATTTACTTTGCAAGTAGCAAGATTCAGGGAAATGGTTCAAATGTTGTACTCTCATGAATTTAACAACAATTTGATCTGTAGAGCGATGTGTTCTCTTTAGCTTGGTCATCCATTTTCTGTATGCAAACTCAATAAGTGCAAAGTACTCACCTTATTTATATTGCAGATTTAAGCATTTTGAGATCTTTCCGTGCGCTTTTTGCCTCAAAATGTCCAGTTGTGCTTTAGCATGCTAGATTAACCAACACAGACAGTGTGAACCGAAACACTTACCAATGAGACTTTCTTGTAGGGATACAACTGCTAAAAACAAAGTTAATATAAAACAATGTATGGGCATATAACACTCATGTGGTAACGTGGTATTTTCCACTAATTGCATACAAAATATTTAACAACTGGAGATACTTAACTGTCATAAAATGTTGGTAATCAATCTCAGGGGGATGAATTAATTATTTTATGAGCGGTTTTGAATTATATTTCATTTTTTATGAGGTTGGCCATTTTTGCTGTAAATACATTTGAAAACCTCAATTTGTAAGATTAAATAATAAAAACATATCAAAATTTATTTCAAATATTGGTCAAAGGGGTTGCAACTTTAGCCAAAATTCTTTTGTCAAAAAGCCAAAAGTTTTGATGGGTCTCTTTCTCTAAAAAATATTTTTTCTTTAATTAATGAGAAATGTAAAATATTTGGAGACAATTTATTTCAATGTTGTTCTTGATGTTGCTAAATACTTTGGATTTCTCATTAATGAAAGGACAAATTCTCAAATAAATAATTCTTAAAATAACTTTGGTAAAAAGGTCAATCCTGATCTTGCTACATATGGTCAAAACTAAAATATCTGTAAATAAAACATTTAAAAAAATCGAGACCATGTACTTGTCTTCCCATCATGCTTTAGAAAGAGACAGTCATGTGTGTCATAATTTCAAGGAATGTTCCACATTTTGTAATAAATTATGTGGTAACTTAGTTGTTACACTAATATTGTGATTTTTGGTGAAAATTGCCATGTATCATACCACAGCTTCAACAGTAAAACTAATTCATTAGAGAAATAAAAAGTCATATTCAAATCTCAATACTTTATTTCACAAGAATATTTAATAGATAGCACACATGAGTCTATTCTGTATGAAGTGACTCACTAAAAACTGACAGCTTAAATGTCACATAGTAATCTTAAAATAAAACTCTCTCTCTCACACACACACACACACACACACGTCACTTTTGACTAAAAATACACGGCTACAGTGGATTCATTCATTCTGTTTAACATTGCAGTGTCTCTAAATTATTGCTACATTGCTAATTAAAACATTAATAAACTGTGTAAACCTCAAAACACAATCCAAACATCAAAATTACAGTACCCGTTCCCCAAAAACTGTTGTTCATTCATTTAATTGTCTTAGAAACCAAATTAAACATCACTCTCTCACTAAATAAGTCAGTGTCAGTTCTTAATAAATAACCACCAAACGTTATGTGCAATATCTCCGAGTGTCCAATCATGTTTTGTGCATCTTACATAATTAAACCAATGCAGTGTGGACTCACGGCCAAGGGTGTCCTGGTTCAACGTGCTATTTCTGAACAGTAGATACTTGAACACTCCACGACTAGTAAGACAACACCACCGAGGGTCTTCTAGAGCTTCTCAGAACTGAGCCTGTGTTTCTATTATTATATTGTGCTGTAAATTATGCAAGCACTATTTTTCTACGAGTGATTAACATTCACGGGTCGGGTCTCGCTTAGATCAGCGCTAAGGACCATTGCGCACAATAAAATACTGTTCGAATTTTGATTTACTTTAACAGATGAAGCATCTCTGCAGTCAATAGGTTTTCAGTAGTACTATCAAAAAACTGTTAAATTCCCAAATGCTACTTATATTTTCAAGCATGGTCAGGGTAAAAGGTTAAATACAAGTCTTATTTGATTCTCTTAGAGTAGTGTTTTGCTGTTCTCATGATTGCACCATAATAGGAGCCTTAAAATATTAAATATTGAAGGAACGGTCTGGAAGGAGTCCATCTTGTTCCTGTTCAAAACTCTGGTTAAAAGCAGCATCAATCTTTGGAATAAAATTCCCACTGGATTCCCCAAATCCCACTAGAGCATAAAGTCAACGTTTTTTTCCATGAGTATCTGTCAACAAGATTGTTTCTTGACAAATTCCATGCTGGCGTTTTGGTCTCAGGAAAAAAGGTTACGGAGATGATATAAGAAATGGTCCTCTTTGCTCTTGCGTGTGCGATAGAGGCCATTCAAATAGTCCCAGGATGAGCGTTTGCAGTAGTTGTAAAAATGTTCCTCAGCTTTCCTCAGGGTGCTGTTCAGGTCCAGCTTGCCCTGCAAACTAACCACAACAGCATGATTAGACTCTTGAGCTCCATGAATGAGGAAAACATGCATTATACAGTGGCCCCAAAATCAATTGGTATTATTTTAAAGAGATATAGCATTTTTTTAACAAAACACTGCACAACAATTAATTATCGACATTTCTTTTCCTATTAAAAAGTGTTCTTGTCGCTTGTTAAAGTTAATAAGATTGAGATTTTAAAGATGTCTTTAATAACTTTTCAAGGCCGGCAAGTTTCAATCCCTCAAGAAGCCTATATGGACTAGTATGCAGGAGTGATCCAGCTCTCAGATTTCATCAAAAATATCTTAATTCGTGTTCCGAAGATGAACGAAGGTCTTACGGGGTTGGAAGAACATGTGAACTATCCCTTTAAGACCAAACGTATTTTAACACAATACAATTTTCTAGACATTTTAAGTGACATTTTGGGGGCATTATATGTTCATAAAGGTTTCTATGTAAAAATCTTTGTGCGTTGTACTGCAAAAAGTAATAAAATATCCCTCTTTCTCACACAGACACACACACACCTGCTGGTAAACTGTATGAGCTGAACCTCGTTCCTGCAGCTGAGTAAATTGTCTCTGTTCTCCAGCAAGATGGTGGCACACATGAAGAGTTCAAAGGTGAAATCTGTGTTTACGGCATGTAGCTCCGTCACAGGTTCCTCCTCTGGCGATCACAAAATCATGAATCAAAATCATTTAGTAAGTCAATAAATTATGTAAACCAAGTCAAATTTATTTATAGCACATTTAAATACAGCAAATCTAAACAAAGGGCTGAGAAAAGTTAATTGCAGCACAATGAAATACATGAGATACATAGATCAACTAGTGTTTATCTGATGTTTTTATAATCAAGCATAGAGAAACATTTAACCATCTGTCCCTCTTTGTTTAGGGGTCACACTCGGCTCCTTCGTTGTTAAAAGTGAACAAAGTTTTGAACAAAGTCTTTTTTTCCCAATTGAAGATAATATTTTTATTCTAATATATATATATATATATATATATATATATATACAGTATATATTTAATTATTTGTCAATTAAAGAAGTATTCCATGTTAAAATAGAGACAAAGCTTTTTAAATTTCCATTTTTAAAGGTAGATTAGTGCCATCTGGTGGGAGTGAAATAAAAAAGAAACTTATGTAATACCATGGTGCCACTAGATGCCTACATTGTTCTATATAAAGTGGTGTATACATTCTCCAGTGGGTTTTAGACATAAATACTTATTTTTATTAAGTTGTGGATTTGGATTTATACTTAGACATGCTCAAAGACTATAGTGTGCATTTGAGTGTGTGTGTCTTGTGAAACCTCTTGCTTGCTGTACATTTTTTTTTTTGCTTACTGCATGTGGCTGAATTGCTGATTTTATTTCACACATTTGCAAAAACTTGCTCTGGGTTGTATTCACAACGATTAATCGTAAACAAAATAAAAGTTTGTGTTTAGGGGAGAGCGGGGCACAGCACATTTTGGTTTTTGGCTCAATTAATTAATTAAAAAATAATTAGGTTAGATTAATATTTTTTTTACACAAGCAACATACACATCTCTGCTACAAATGAACACTTAAAGTTTTTTTTCTAGGACCTACCATTTTCATACAGTTGCACTGAAAGTGACAAAAGTCCAAATGTTACAACTTATGTGGGGTTAATTGTAACAGACAGAGGGGTTAGTTGTAACACTTGTGTGCAACACACATAATTCAGTACTATTTTATTTGTATAGTTTGATATTGTTTATGCATCTGTATAGATAGATATCCATACATCCATCCCTCATCCAATCATCCTTCTATTATGGATCAATATATCATGGATAGAGACATAGACAAGGGCTGCACAGTTTTGCAATAAATAATAATAATAAAAAAAATCATAAAATATTGTAATTGCAATTGAATTAGATTTGTGTGTGGCAGCTGCATGTACAATTATTAAGGGGTTTATTGCATTAATAACAGGCCATATTTTTAATAAATAAACAAGTTATCATTCATAGTAAACTAAATTTTAAACATTTGAAATCCCAACATTGTTTGTGAAAGTCCAACAAAGTTAAATTTATAAATAAACCCTGAAAAGTTGTGTGGCTCCATTTTCATTTGATTATCATTATACACTTGGCGGCTTGTTTGTAACACTGTGTTACAACTAACCCCGCTGTGTATTACATATTTTAAGCCTTGCTAACAGTCGCTAGGAATTGCTGACATGTTTCAAAACGGTGCTATGTTTGAGCCAACAAGTGATTAAGGCAATATAAAGTTAGATTTGGAAACGTATACACCCAACTCAGAAACCGAAAAAAAAAAACTATAATAAAAAAATGTACTAGCATGGTGTCAAAACCCTCTTTGTCCAGTATCTTCACGAAATATAATCAAAACTTTCCACAAATTCGCGGGAGACCGTCTTCTGGCAGCAAGAGAAAAATAGCGGGCGTGTCCCTGAGAAACTACGTGTTACATTTAGCCCCGCGTTAGCTTGTGTCCAGCGCTCCCCTACATAATATATGTGTGTACTGTGTATAATTATTTTGTATATATAAAATGTATATATGCATTTACCCAGGCTGTGTTTGCGCGCCAGCCTCTCCTGATATCGAACACGATCCACCTGCTGTGAGATGAGCTCCAGGTGATCACAGCTGAGAATCTCAAACAGACGCAGAGCATCGCTGTGCTCAAACTCCCGCTGGAAACCCAACAGAAGCCACCTGAATGGAAGACAAAGACAACATGTATAAAGTGACATAAAGGGAAGGAAAACGTGAAAGGAGGAAGGAAAACCGACACACACCTGTGACAAAAAGTGAGTCTTTCCATGTTATCTGTGACCAGATGAGAGTGTAGTTGAGGATCCAGTTCTTTTAGTAAAGCAGCTTCCAATTCTGATAAACACAACAGCAGAAACAGCATTTGACCATTATTACCGTTAAATCCAGTGAGAAATCATGGGCCTTTATTATTGCTAAAAACAGATCTAAACGGTTTGGAAAAACCAACGAAACCCACCCATTTTGCGATACAGCCCATCAGCACGGAAGTCTTTGGAAAACTTCTCCATGTAGCAGGAGAAGCTCCAGTAAGTGTCCACTTCTGAGTCGAGAACTTCTAGGAAGCGACTGCACAGGTCATTCATACCCTGAGCGTAACTTACTTCTGCAGAGACCAGGGAAAGAAATTTCTTAAAGGGACAATTCACCCCCCAAAAATTAAATGATGTCATCATTTACTCAACAAGTTATTCCAAATCTTGAAAAGAACCATAACCATATTTTTTTAAATATCTTTCTTTGTGTTCAGCAGAAGAAAGAAACTCATAGGTTTGAAATTACATGAGGGTGAGTAAATGATGACAGATTTTTTTGGGTGAACTGATAACTTTTACACAATTTACCCACTAGATGACGCCCTTCATCAGAAAACAAAGATCAGATCACAAACATCCAAATAAAAGAGTAAGAGTAATAAAAGAGTTCAAAGGTCAATAAGATTGTGTTTAGCTGCTTAACATTTTTGTGGAAACTGGGATATATATGTTTTCTTTGTATAGTAATAATGTATAATAATGCTATTATGCTCATCAAGCTTGCATTTATCAAAAATACAGAAAAAAAACTGTAATATTATGAAATATTATTACAATTGGTTCTCCATTTGAGTATACTTTAAAATATGATTTATTTCTGTGATGCAAAGCTGCCATTACTCCAGTCTTCAGTGTCACATGATCCTTAAGAAATTATTTTAATATGCTGCTTTATTATCAATTTTGGAAAGAGTTGCCTAATATGTTCTTTGATTAATAAAAAGTTAAAAATGTATTTATTTAAAATAGTAATCTTTTAGAACAATATACATTATGATATAATATACACGTCCAAAACCTTTCTTTCTTTTCTTTTTTTAAAGAAATTAATAATTCAGCAAGGATGTTAAATTCATAACAATTGATAAAGATTTATATGGTTAGAAAAGATTCCTATTTTTAATAGATTTTAACATTTCTTTGTAACTTTTTATTCATCAATGAGTCCTGAAAAAAAGTATCACAACTTCCAAAAAATATTAAGCAACAAACTATCCATTGATAAAAACTGAGTATCAAATCAGATTTCAAATTTGATAATCTATCTCAGCATATTAAAATGATTTCTGAAGGATCATGTGACATAGAAGATTGGAGGAATGAAGCTGAAAATTCAGCTTTGTCGTCGCATAAATAAATTATATTTTAAGTATATTCAAATAGAAAACAATCATTTTAAATGGTAATAATATTTCACAATATTACAGTTTTTCTGTAATTTTGATTTTAAAAAATACAGGCTTGATGAGCAGAAAATACTTCTTTCAAAACCATTAAAAATAGTAATGATTCCTGATTCCATTTTGACAAATACTGTGTGTGTAGAAATGTCTTTACTGTCACATTAGACCAATAATAAAGTGTTCAAAAGTGTCTTTACAAGCACATACCTGGGTGAAAAGCAGCATATGTGATTAGGATATCTCTTAACACAAGCAGGTTACCCAAACCTTCATTCCTGTGAAGAAACACAAGAGATTAGAGGCTACTTATTCTTCAAAATACTGATTTAATTAAGCGGGTGATTATTAACAATGATACAATCATACAATCATTTTGTGTGCTATCCTAAATTTAAAAAATGTTATCTACAAAAAAAGTTTGATGTTGTTTGATGAAGTTTGAATTTTATTTAAGTTCATATTATCATTACTTCTAAGTTACAGTGTCATTCTTTTATTTAAATTCATATATGCTAAAAGTCCGTTTGAAAAGCATTAAGAGTCCATTTTTGTTAATATACTATTAAATGCCTATTTTGTATTAATTGTGCATGCCTGCCTATATTTGCAATTTGTTATAATACAATTATAATAAGTTTAGACGCCAATACTGTCTTTGTAAAGAGCTCCAGATTTCTTTAATTGTAGATTTTGTACTTTGATATTAAAATCTGCTTTCAAAGTGAGTTGATCTGACCAGACTCAAAACTAGTTACTGTTTAACCGCAGTAAAACGTTGAGTGTTATTTGCATTGAGCTCCAAGGTTGTTTGACGAATTGGTGTGGCAAAGACATGTTTGCTTTGCGCTGGTAACACACATTAGCGATGCACATTTATTTCACAACACCATGTGGTTTGTGTAAACAACCATGGGAAAGGAATTATTGACTTCACTTTCTTTGGCAGAAATGAAGAAGGAACTGTGCAATTTGACAAATAAATGACATCATAAACAAAACAAAATAAAAGATGTTGTCATGCAAAACATGTGATTATGCTTCCTTTTTTAAGCTATTTTGTTGTAAATTAAACAATAAAATAGAGTTTAAAAAAGAATCATCAAGTCATGAAGATGGATAGACTTGAAGAGTTCAGATGCAAAAGCCTCTAAGTGCCATTTGAAATTTTCTTCTAGAATGATATTTTTTATCAAGCTTGTATATTTAAGTTCAGTGATTTCACTTAAATGGCAATGATAATTACCTATTAATTGTTATTTAAGTGAAATTACTGAACTTAAATATACAAGTTTGATAAAAATCATCATTACAGAAGAAAATTTCAAATGGCATTTAGAGGCTTTTGCATCTGAACTCTTCACTTGTAGATTTATGTAGATCAGGATGCTATAGAAGAATTAAACATGGAAATCTGAACAAGCAAGTGTTTGCTATAAGGAAATTAACAGATATAACAATAATGATAATGAGCACCATAAAGCCATAACAATATGTGAACAATAAGACTCGAAATTAATATAACCTTCTATGAAAATACCATATGAAAAGGATTTAAAATTGTTTTGCAAGACATAAGGGAACAAATTTAGTAGAAAACATGACAGTTTCCATTGCCGTGTTGAGTCGTTTGCTGGGCTTTTGCTCAGTGCAGAGTAGGTTGGCATAAAGTATGAGCGATCATGATAATGTTTATGTTGGCTGTTTCTACATGTAAAGTTTTTATACAGTAAAACAGTTGTGATTGTGATCATTTTTTTATTCACTGTCACCTAAATGGGTCCATTCAAAGGCTTTATAAAGTCCCCCTTCATCTGGAAACTGTCTCATAACACATGCAGGTAAAGGTCCAATTCTAGCTTTGCTATTGCCTGATACATGATAATAATCTGCACAATATTATGATCTGAGGATAGTGTTATACATAGGCTACCATCGCTAACGTGTCGTGGGATTATCTATAAGCTAACACTGGTCTCTCATCGAGACACCTGTCCTGTTCTCCTCACACAAACACTAAATGTATCTCATATGACCGTTGTTCTGTGTAACCCTGGCCTGTCCCTGCTCTCTTGGCCGCATTGAAATTTCCTCAGCGTCCGAACTGTCATTGCGATCCATTGTTTTGCTGTTGTTTACTTTGACGCACTCCCTCCTGTTACATCAGCTTGTATTCGCCATGGAATAAAAAAAAAAAAAAGTAATTGCAACTTTTCTGACAATTCTGACTTTTTTTCCTCTTGCAACTACGAGTTTCTCTTTCAAAATTATGAAAAAAAGGCAGAATTTCAAAAGTGGGAGTTTATATCACAAATCTGAGAACGAAAAAAAAAAAAAGAGTTTGTGTCGGACTTTTTTTTTTTCTTGGAATTGCTTCGGCCATCATTTTCTTTGTTTAGCATATTATACTGTACAAATGAAACAAGCTCTCACCGGTAGTAAGGAAGATCTCGATCGGTTCGAGGAACATCTTTGTCAATGATGCGGATGGCTTCCTGGAGCTCTTCCAGGTCAAAGGTTACACGTTCAAATAGCACCTGCACATTAAAATCAGTATGAAATCAAAACTGACCTGACATACTGTACATTCTTATTACACAATTGGGTCCCACTTTATATTAAGTGTCTTTAAGTACTATGTACTTACATTGAAATGAATAATTTGATACAATGGACTTATTGTGTACATACATGTTTTTACATTGTACTTATATTTGATAAATAGCCACATGTAATTACAGCTGTAATTAAAGTAATTACATTTGTAATTACAAAGTTGACCCTCCCCTCACACCTTAACCTTCCCTTAAACCCACCCATCCCACCACACCTGTCCCTAACCTTACCCGTATCACACCTCAATAGCAGCGAAAGTGTTTTACAATACAACAGGAACACAATAATACATTGTAGTTATTTTTCGATGCAAGTACATAGTACTTAAAGCCACTTAATATAAAGTGGGACCCACAATGGTTTAATATTGTTAAGGTTTTTTTTTTTAGAGTTTAGAGTTTTACCTGAGCCTGAAGTTGCAAAAAGGACAACTTTTCTTTGGCCTCTTCTGACTGATACTGATAGTGTTGCTGATTCTGCTCTCTGTCCTGCCTCTGGTCAAAAAACTTCACTGCTGTCAACAGTTCAGCTGAAAAAAAAGATTTATTTATTTATATTAATTTAACATCACCACAACTTGTCAGTTCTGAAGATATATATATATATATATATATATATATATATATATACCTTAGAGGTTTTCAATATCAAGACTAAACATTTATTGCAGTCAGTAAGGGTTGATAAGAGCAAACCGTTTTAAAAGTGTTTGTTCTGCCTTGGAATATGATTTACCATCAGTGCCATTAAGACGCAGGCGAATGGCTCCAGGAAGCAGGTGTTGCCACTTCCTCTTCATGACCTGATAGCGCACCGACATCTGTTCCAGCAGCAAGTGGCGCTCTAGAGACGTAGAGCTGCAAGGGTACATCCCAAACAGAAAACGCCATACCTGACCCCGTTCGTCAGGGGACACACCACCTGAATCGCAGAACACAAGATAGACATTGCTGGTATTATAAGGACACAATGATTGGGATATTCACTATTTCACAATGTCAGTTGCTTTTGATGTAAAAAAATAAAATAAAAATAAATATATATATATATATATATATATATATATATATATATATATATATATATATGATTAAAGTTAAAAGGGCCGCAAGGCAATGCTATGGGGTGATTATGGTTATTAGAGAAAAACAGGGTAAACTTTAAATTAAAATGTAAAAAATACTGTGTTATTTGATAATACAAATAATAAAAAATAAGATTAATTTAACAAACTAAATGAACATAATTTGAATAAAACAAAAAAATGTATAAATAATAAAACAAGTGCAATTATTTACAAAAAATACATACAAATAAACACATTTAATAATGTGACAAAATAATATAATATAAAAACATTTAATAAAATAAAAACATTGTATGCATATTCATATTGATTTACATATTTTGGTATTTATAAATGAAAATATATAACTGCCTTTAAGATTTTAGGACTTGCACGAGGATGATCATATTTTGGGGTCTGTGGCATCTAAAATATGCACAAGCCCTGAACTAACTGATATATCCTTGTCTGTGTCCTTGCATACAATTGATTGGAAAGGCAATGAATCAGTTTTAGTATTGACTAAACAAACAGATCATCATCACTATTAAGATACCAACATTAACTGCATCACTTTAAAGAAATGTCAAACAAGTCAAACCTAAGCAGCCGTATCGTATTAGCATTAGCAATTCAGCATTTCACAATGAGCTCGCCCAGAGAGAATTTGTGGCTCCACACAGAACAAAAACAACCTTAAATCCCCTTCTTCCAGAGCTCATTATGTAATTCATTCACTTTGCATTTCATCGAATAGGAGGAATGTGTTTTGGAGATGAGAGGCCTTCACAAGCACGGCAGGAGTTCACCGAAGGATAGTTAGTGAAATGCCTGTTCGGCTTTCAATCTTGATGTATGACTTTAAAAGTTACTGATGTGGTCATGTTTGCATCACACTCTTGTGCCACATACTTGTGTTGTAAGATAAGGGTGCATTGCTGAATATCAAGCTTCAAATGTGATTGGATCACAAAAACACTAACATGTGTATATCTGAGTTACTTTAGAGACACATTGAGTGGATTACTGATTGGATCCTTATTGCAGTGATTATTATGTTTCTAGCACGTTATATGTTTGGCAACATTTCTTCTAATCTGAACTGATGGAGTGTGTAGCTTTTATTATTCCTTAAACCACCACGTAGGAAGACTCATCATGGCCATATTCCAGGATGACCATGTCAAGACTCATCAGGCTCAAGTTGTGAAAGAATGGTTGGGATGAAGAATCATTTTCGCACATGAATCTGCACCTAAGTGTCCAGACCTTAAATTCATTGAAAGTCTTCGGGCTGTGCTGGAGGAGACTTTACACAGTGCTGGACTCTTGCATTGCCAATACAAGATCTTTTTTTTTCCATCTAGAGGTGCATCAATTTTGCAATGCAAGAGTCAAGCACTCTGTAAGCACAAGCTGCTAGATTTTAGGCCTATATCAGGAGTTCAGGCTTAGTTGCTCCATATACTGACATTGCTTCACAAATATCACACGATCCTGACAGGCCTACTGATAAAACTGATACTGATAATCCACAACTCTTAGAATTTAACCATGACACAACCACTTGTGAGAGGTTTCTGTAAATTAAACTAGCAACCATGCTGTCTGCCGGCCCGTCACATCTAAAGCATGACTAAAGTGGATCTTATGATTGTAGTTCTACACAGAGCATATAGCTTTCTAGATTACTATGAAGCCATTCTTGCTATGGGAAACATGTCACTTGACTAGCACTTGACAAGAAGAGGGCCTTTGGGTAGACCAGTGATTCCAGACGATCGTCCAACCCTTTTATAAAGCATGTTAAAATAAGATCTTTACATGTCAGTTGCTTCTCTTTGAATGCAACAAAGATCACCTGATAGAGATAACAGATAATTAGATGACCTACATCAGCAAATACAGACACACTTGAATATATATGGTATAGGGATTTCCATTGACATCTGTTTTATAATGAGCTAATTATATTTGTATCACATTATAACACTCACACAAACCTTTTTTGCACTTTTACAGTTTCATTAAGGCTTATTTATTTATATTAAAGTCGAAAATGGGAGTTGCGATTCTTCCCTTTTGTGCCGTATATCAAGTGAAACAGCTTCTTAACAAGAAAATGTAGGGCTGGATTTGATTTTGTTCTTGGGGGATTAATTGGATGGTTGGCATATATATATATATATATATATATATATATATATATATATATCTTCAGAAATGACAGGCATCAAGCAAAACACAAATACGATTATATTACATAAAATTAAATTCCTATTTTCAGAATCTCAGGTCGTACTTCAGGAAATTGTTGACTCTAATGGAATTAACCAGTAGAACTGGCTTACAATTCTGAAATTTCATTGAATTCCTTTTAGATTTGAACAAGAGTTTGTGCCACTATAAATATTTGTATAAATAACAAACCAAATCAAATGAGATTTCTACTACTTTTTTGTTTATAAATCAAACAAAAAAGTAGTAGAAATCTACAACTGATCTCAAAACAGTGTAAAGTAAAATAAAGCGTAACGTTGCAAATATAATATAATACAAATTATATTAAACATAAAAAAGACTGTGCTTAAAAGCAAGCATGAGTTTGTGTTTAGCAAAAGTATCAGTGCTGGGTGTAATGCATTAATAAGTAATTAATTACAGCAATTTAATAACTTTTCCCTTGAAAGTGCTAAGAAAGGGATTACTCTTAATTTGGCTAATTGCATTAAATACTGTATATACTACATAAACCGGATTTAACATCAAAATGATTTAACATCTAATGTTAAAATGTATGTTTTTAACGTAACATCTTTAAATACTTTGGTCAGTTTATGAACAACTTATGCAACTCCGTATTATTTATTTGAAAGAAGAATAACAGAGCAGTTTCATGTATTGTTTAACTGGTCTAGGCTGATATGGGATTTAGAAAGTAAAGTGTAATGCAATACTTTTTTAAAGAGAATAATTAGTACAGTAATCTTATTACACAGTTGAAGATGTATGAATGCCTTTATTGTCATTGCATGTAAGCACAAAGAAATTATAGAGCCACTCTAGGTGCATCATTAAACCCGTATGTATAAAACATAGGCTATCACACAACATAATAATTTAAAACCTAATTTACACTCTTTCCTTCTAAGGGGCTAATAAATATTCTAATATAACAAGTGCTGATTAACTATGCAAAGAGCATTATTAATTAAAAAAAAAGTTTTTGCTTCATAAAGGACTATTATTGCTGGTGTTATTGTAAGCCAATAATTAATTACTTTGTTTAGAGTAATTACCCAACACTTTTATGCAATCTCCTTTTTTCATTCTTTATTGGTCAAGCAGAAATACACTAAAATGCAATCCTCAGACATGATATTTCTAGTGATAAAGTAGATGCACGTTATCTACCAATATAAACAAGAGAACCTGCTGATTTGGCTAACACTGTCACTGTCACAATCAAATGATAATCCATATACAGTACATTAAACAGAGACAGGTCTACTGTCACCCCAGGAAGACTTTGGTCATGTTTAGTTATTAACCTAATTTACAACAGCTTTTAAACTAGGCAAATTATGTTCTCATACCGACTCTCCACAAACTATATGGATGATGATAGATTATTTACCGTTTTTAAATATATGCATTCTGAGTCTGGATTCGTCCACTCGCCCCTCAGCGTCCATCACACCTGGCAGCGAGATGCGCGCGCAGGCAGACTCAGGTGAGGTCACAGGTGCGACGGACCGACAGATGTTGTTATTCCCCGCAGAAACGGGGAACTTCATTCCCTTAAACTTGCCACAGGGTCCATTAATGTCCAGATGGTTTTTACCTTTCCCTTCTACATGTGATTCATCAGATGCGATCATCGTGTTTATGTCATATAAAGTGTCTTTCTCTCAGGCATAAAGTTGTCGTGAGGTCACGAGTTGATCAAATCAGTAGGTAAAAAGTCTTCGGTGGTCTTTCTGAAAGTTCACTTTAGACGTACGAGAAAGTGTTTTGATTGTGAGCACACCCCTCATCTCTGTCATATGACCATCTCTCTCTCTCTCTCTCTCTCTCTCTCTCTCTCTCTCTCTCTCTCTCTCTCTCTCTCTCGCTCAGCCCTAGGAGCTGCAAGCACTGTGGATATAAAGGTGAATGTCTCCCCCTTGTGGTGAGTTTTTTTTTATACCCTTTCTTTATTTACAAGTTAGGCAGGCTATTTCTTGTCTATTTATAATATTTAATATATAGTCTATTTATAGGCTATTTATAATATATTTATATATATTACATATTTTATCTGTTAATATTTTTTTAAAGAAGTCTCTTATGCTAATCAAGGCTGCATTTATTTGATAAAAAAAATACAGAAACAAACACTGTGATATATTATTACAATTTAAAATAATGTTTTATTTTAATTTTTTTAATGTACTTTAAAAATATAATTTATTCCTGTGATGCAAAGCGTTTTCAGCATCATTACTCCAGACTTTAGTGTCACAGGATCCTTCAGAAATCATTCTGATAAGTTTGGGGTCTTTTTTTTTTCTTCTTTTTTTATTTTATTTTATTATCATTATTTTGAAAGAAATTAATGTTTTTGTTAAATTTATAAAAAGAGATATTTAAAAGATTTATTGATAGAAAAGATTCCCATTTTCTGTTCTTTTGGTGACTCATCCACAATAACTGATTTCAGTGATAATGCTTTTTTATAAACTAAAAAATGCTGGTTTGTTTCAACCCATGTTTGGGTTAAATATAGAAAAACCCAACTGTTGGACTTTAAAAATTTAAAAAAAGCAAAATTTAAACCAACGGATAAGTGTGTCCATATGTGGGCTACATGTTTTTAGAGTGATACTGTTGGACCACGTGAGTTTCAGTATAAAACCTCATAAAAAGCTGATACAAAACAGCATTTTATCTTGGAAAAAAATCATTTACTTTTGTCATCACTGGTACAAACTAATGGAAAACATTTCTAGTGGAATGAATGTATCGACTGTCCGGGCACACCAGCAGTAATGTTCCCAGTGCCCACACACTGATTAACATCTTCATTGTTATTAAACTGAGAAACTGATGGGTGTTTTCAGTATGATTTGAAGATACAAGATTTTCTTCATTGTTTTGTGCATTAAAGCACTGCACTATACTTTACTTATCTGATTGCCCTTATCTACTCCATCTGGTTTTAATGTACTTTAAAAATATAATTTATTCCTGTGATGCAAAGCGTTTTCAGCATCATTACTCCAGACTTTAGTGTCACAGGATCCTAATGTCCTTTCATAAACAAACTTGGGGTTCAACGGTCTCTCATGCTCACATGGCAGCATTTATTTGATTAAAGATACAGTACAAACAGCAAGATTTTGAAATATTACAATTTTAATACATTTTTTCCTTTGAATGCAAAGCTGAATTTTCAGCATCATTACTCCAGTGATCACTGTCACGTTATCCTTCAGAAATCGTTCTATTATGCAGATTTGGTACTCAAATAGGCAAACATTTCTTATTATTATAAATGTTGAAAATGGTTTTGCTGGTTATTTTTTATTTATTTTTTGGAGACTGTGATATCATGACCTTTTTCAGCATTCTTGATGAATAGAATGTTTCTTTGAAATATTTTATTTTTTTATTTTTACAATGTTTTGGATCAATTTAATGGACCCTTGTGTCAGGGTTCTGTCATTTCTGTCTAATCTATTTTTTTTGCTTTTGTGACAGAGCCTAACACTCCTGTTTTGTCTCGTGTGTCTGAGCGCACGGATTTGAGCGTGCTCGAGCTGTGCCCTCTTGTCTGTGTGGCTTGTTTCATGTGCAGGGCGTGGTGTCTAGTTTGGCTGCATTTCTGTTTAACCCTAGCTGTGTGCTTTCATGTTGTCATGTTTTGAGTGAACACGTGGCTTATGGGTGTTTTCATTAGCTGCCTGTTCATGTCTCTTTTTGTGTGAGCACATGGCTTGTCATGTGAGTTTCCTTGTGACATGTGCTCTCCTGGCGATTGCCTAACTCCTCCCCCATCTTGTTACCTGATTATTGGCTGATTTGCCCCACCTGTATCCCCTTGTTACCGGATTTTGTTATCTCTCTATTTAGGCCCTGTTTACACGAGAACGCTCGTGGGTGAAAACGTAAAAAAAAATATTGGATGTGCCTTTCGTTTACATGGCGACAGTGTTTTTGGGGCTTAGTAACAAAAAAGAGGAAATCTTAAAAATGCTCCACCATCGCGTTCTCATCTAAAGGATGAAAACGCTAAAGTCTGTTTGACAGTGAAGGTTGTACGCAGGTGCGCGGACTTGGTGTTGTTGTGTGGCAGTGCTTCACATCGCCACCTAGCCGCCTGGAGTGCATATCGAATTTCAAACACTTTTGGGTCACCATATGCACGCAGATTTCCCACCGCTAACGCACATCTAAACGCAGAATAAAAAGTGATAACGAAACGCCACTTTTGCGTTTACTCTTCAGAATCGTTTTCCTTGTGTTTTCAGTCCTGTGCTGGTTCATTGTTGTATGTACTTCGTAACTCTGTTATGTTCATCCAGTGTGTTGTTTTCTCCCTAGTTTTTGTTTGGATTTTTTATTTTATTTTAAATTGTTAATTTTTTTTTTCTCTCCTTAAATTATTACAGTTTAATCACTTTCAGCTACCTTTGTATATGAAATATGCCATATAAATAAACATGTCTTGGATTGATAAAACATGAGGATCGGATTTAATGTGGAGGAAAAAGTGCAATGGAACACATAAATATAAATACCACAAGTTTAGATAATAAAACTATTAAAACAAGAAAGAGGAAAATCAGGTCAAATCTGGATTCATCCTCGACTCCATCTGGTCAGAGAACAAGAGAGGGAAAATGAGAAATTGTCCCAAAACAGAAAAGATCCACAGCTAGTTTACAAAGAGAAAATTGTCCTCTTTTACCTGTAATACTGGAGGTACAAAGCGGGCTTCTCGGAGTCATACTTTCAGTCCTAAAATTTACTAAAAGTTGAGTCCCATTCCCATAATACTGCTCATACGTGTCATAGATTTTGCAGATGTAATTACAGTGGAACGTGCCGGTGTCGTTGAGCTCTAGTGAGGTCAGAGTGAAGCTTGAGCTCGAGTGGTTTGCTTCTTTAGAATGTCTCCCACTAAACTGAGCAAGCTTTTCGATGTCCTCATGTTTCCCATCTCTTTCATAGTACCAGCGTACTAAACAGATGGCTTTCTGAATGTCTCCATGAGTGTGACAGTGTATGGTGATGTTTCCTTTGGGTGTGCTGTACACCTCACCTGGCCACTGCTTCACACCGTTTTGTATGTGAGCCTTTCCTGTGAAAAAGAACCAGAATGGAGAAACATCCACAATATTTAAGACTATTAATCTTGATGCCCCGCTCATTGGGGTTCTATAGATTATGCATTTTTGGTAATATAATATTCTTTATAATATATAATATCGGATTAATTTTCCATTACTTTTGACCCAACAAGTAGAAATAAAATGTATTCCACTCATTGTCAACATTGTGAAGTGCATTAAACATGTCTGGCTTTTTCAAATTGGTAAAATTGAAAACATTTTGAATACAATTTACATATTATAAAATAAAAACAATCAAACAAATGTGTGTTTATGTTGTATGACCTCTCAATTTTCCATGTACAGCTGCCTACTGGTCGTTGTAAGTTTTTGTAATTCCACAAAACTTGAATAATTTCTGAACATATTTAAGCAATAGGGTTTTTTTTTAGATAGGAAATTTTAAAAGATAAAATTATAGAATTAGGGAGAATCATTGAATAATGAATAATTTACTGTCATTTCTACCCTATCTCACGACCAATTCGTATGAATTCGTACGAGTGATTCAAAAGTGGCTAATTCATACTAATTCATACGACCTCACTCGTACCAATTTGTACGATTTGTCTAAACCCACGTGACGGTTATGTTTAGGGCCGGGGTCAGGGGTAGGTCATTCGTACGAATTCATACAAATTGGCTAATTCGTAAAATAAGTACGATTTAGCAAAATCGTACTAATTCGTACGAGTGAGGTCCTACGAATTGTTACGAATTAGCCACCTCGTAAAATTCGTACGAATTCCCGTGAGATCGGGTTGGTCATTTTGTTAATTAATCAATAAAAAGGTAACTATTTTAAAATGTAATATGATCTAATTACAAGTATTTCATTTTTGGAATCTGATTATGTAATCCAGATTACATATAATCAGTTATACCCAGCTCTGTACATATTGCCATTTACCTTGTTAAGAGTTTTTGAATGGACATTAGCTTCTAAAGTGAAAACTGATTTGCCCTACATGGATAAATAAAGTTATTTGAATTGAACTGAATTCAGCTTCTTATCAATTCAGGAGTTTATATTTACATTTACATTGTAGTTATTAAGTAGACACTTTTATCCAAAGCGATTTACAAATTAGGACTTAAAGCGAGTCATCGTGAAGAGGCAAAAACCACACAAGACGTGCTCAAAATACACTGTAAAAATGAATATGCTTTATCTAATCAGTAAAATTGTGGCAACAGATTACAAGCAATATTATTTATTAAATTGAACAAATTAGAATTGAGTAATAGTTAATCAAATTAGTATTCTAATTAATTCTAATTTGTACAATTTAATTAATAATATTCACTTCTCAGAGTAGGCTATCTTATGCCAGGATTATTATTATTATTATTATTATTATTTCATGAGGTTAAGTGCTCATGGAAGAGATGAGTTTTGTGGTTTTGTGGTTATATATATATATATATATATATAAACAATTTCAGTGGAAATGTGAAAACAAAACAATAATTTTGGCCCTTATTCAACATACATATAAATAATAAATAAACATAAAAAACGTATATATATATATATATATATATATATATATATATATATATATATATATATTTATTTATTTATTTTTATTTTTTTAAAGCACTCAGGCAATCAGATAACATAATTAAATACTATTTTGAAATAATATGATGCATTTTGACCCATG